ATCCGCCTATAGGATGTGGGGGCGGCTATTTTGCTGAAATACCATAAACCGAGATTCATTGTAGAAGAATGTGCTGGCAAGAAAAACAACCCTCTTTGTTCAAAGGCCCTATATGCCGAGTACAGCTCTCCTCTGATAATATGGAGTATCAGTATGAGTAAAATAAAATCTCGAAGGAATATTAACCAAACAAAAACAAAACAACATAAACATTCGCCAGGCCGGTTCCTATTAAAAAGATAACGATCAAAGCAGGGTTTTGTAAAATGGATTGTAGAAGAAAATTTAATTGAAATTTCAATATATTTTTTTCCATATATATTCGCAATTTCTTGATAAATTAAAGATGAGTTTTCTCAGTAACGCCTTTCGGTGTTAAATCTATATATTTTTGAAAAAGCTGATCACTAGGCACGCCCCCAGTTAATTTATACCTCGTCTTCATTTAGTATCAAGGGATGAAATAATCCCAGGTTGCTAAATTTTTGCAAAGGACTTTTTGCAAAGAACAGTCTTCGGTTCGCTTGGTGTTAGCCTTGAACAATTGAAATTTCAAGGTTCCAGCTCTGTCTTCGATTTTAGTATTTATTCCTTTGTCCTTTCCTTTGAAATTCCATAAAGTAAGATTACACAATTCGTTTTTTAAGATGACCTCCTAAATGCTAAATGTGACGTTATGAACTTGGGCATTTTCTTGTATTTTCCTAAAATGTTGCATTTTCTTTAAAAAAAATATAGAACACATGCATCGCCCACAAATATTTTGATGTTATTTTTCAAGATATTTTACAAAATATGTCTGATAATTGGTGTGGGCGACGGCTGTGGACACTGTTTCCTCAAGGAAACAACCCCTGAACGAGTCATTTTAAGGCATTTTCTGTTTGATTGATTGATTGATTGATTGTATATTGTTTAACCTCCCTCTCGAGAATTTTTCACTCATATGGAGACGTCACCGTATGCCGGTGAAGGGCTTCAAATTTTGACCTTTACTCGGCACTCAGGGCCATTGAGCAGTGAGGGATCTTTATCGTGCCAACGCCTGCCGCTGACACGGGACCTCGGTTTTTAAGGTCTCATCCGAAGGACCCGCAACTTTCACTTCAAAGTGCCGAGCGCATGGCGAAGGAACAGTTGCTACCCATTTTAACGACTAGGTCAGTCGCGGTCGAGATACGAACTCACAACCTCCCGATCACGGAGCGAGCGCTCTACCGACTGAGCTACCGTGAACGGTATTTTCTGTTTGAAACTTTTTTTTAAAAATGCTTTAAATAAATGATATCATGATATCATATTTCCGAAATTGTCTACTTTTCTGTTATATTCTTTCATTTTTTATCACATTATTTACTAAACTCATGTTTCAGCCAATTTTATAGAATTTTTAAAACATCAATTTTTTAAGGTACAATAAAGAACAAACTATACCTTTCTTCTTCACTATAATTGCATGCATAGTAAAAACCACTGACAGCCATTCTAGTGAGAAAGATACCTCTTATCTAAACATTGGTTCTCTGGTGCGTAAAATAATAAAATTAAAAATCTTTAAGAGAATTGCATTTTTTAATGCAGTTGCAAAACATTTGTAGATACAATATTTAAATGAAACAGAACTTTAAACAACACAAACTTTAAAATTCCATTTAAAAACTTAATTCTAAATAATTACATTTCAAAATAACATACAAGTTGTATCGTTTTATTTTGACATGGTTCCATTTTTTTTAAATATTACAAGATTTTTTTTCTGCTACCGGTTCATTAATAAGGGAATTATAGATAAAAGAAATGGACATGCAAAAACTATATTGTTAGTTTTGGGTCAGAAAAAGATTAAAAAGTACCATGAATGATTTTCATTCAAAAATTTAACATAAGTAAAACATTGCATTTACAATGCAAATTAACATGTGTGATGGTAAACAATCTAGAAAAACTAAGGAAATCTGTTGCGTTTTAATTGCAGTTTCGAAAGTTTTAAATACAAAACAATGAATCGGGAATAAAAAATTACAGCAAAATCTACAAAATCTAAAGGAAATAACTCACAATACTTATTATAAATAGCATGCAATTAAAGTTTTAGATTTTTCTTTTAATTATTGTCCATTCTGAAGTTTTTGGAAGTTTTTAATTTTCAACTCATTGAATAGTTTTTAAAAAGAATAATACAAATACTACATTTCAAGCTTTATATCATTCATTCAACGGATGGATTTTAACAAAACTTCGAACTTATGTAGCCTATACTTAATTAAAATCAGTTCATTAAAAAGAAAGTCTTATTGTTATATTTTCAAAAACTGATTTTAGTTACACAGACGAAAATTAAAATTCATTTACTTAATTTTTAGCAGCATATGCTTCTGAATGAACACAATTACATTTATTAATCATAATCAGTTCAAATAAGTCAATATATATTAATTAATTACAAGTAAAATTGGATATTTAAAACATATTATCCATAACATTCTATTTAATAAATCAGGACTCAACTTTTTTGCACAAAATATTTTTTTATTACTTGTTCTGATATTTTGTTTTGCTAGAATGTTTATTCTTATAATAACACATGTCTAAAAGAGAAAGCGTAGTTCTAATACTTATTGGGACAACTCTTAGATATCAGAAAGTTGGAATTAACAGTTCTCCACGGATGCATTCATATTGTTTCTTCCATAGTACACTTCTTTCAAAATTCAACCAATACTGTCTAGTCTTGCTTATTTACTTTGCTATACAAATTATATTGGAAATTTTTTTTGGTGCAATCAATAAATGATTGTGTATTTACCTACACATTGGTGATTTTATTTTCCTCAACATTTTCATGCAGTTGATTCAAATTACAGTCAAACTTTTATGCATAAACGTCCTGTTCAACAAACGATTCTGAAAATGGTTATACCTGTCAATATAAATTTAAGTTTCACTGAATAAAAATAATCAGTAATTGTGAATGTTGTAATGATCAGGAAAAGCAACAATAATTTTGTTTTAGAAATGTTCTTCTTTATGTCGACTGTATTGTATGTACATGCATGCAATCTTTAAATGTGTGCAAAATACAGACCCAGGCTGTTTATATATTTTTTTTATATCGAAAATACTATATAGAAAAATATCAAGTTTAAATTAAGAAAATTCATTTTAAAAAAGGAAACTTTTTGATGATAGTTTTGCGGCAGGGAGTTCGCTACGCGCCGCGTGAAACATAAGGGAGTGACTGTTCCTTCCCCAAACGCGAGGAATAAGAAGTTACACTCGAGGGTCTCTCAGATTAGACATTGTAAACCGGGGTCCCTTGTCAGGTTGGCACAACGGAGGGTTTATAGAGAACCATCACTGCTAAATCGCCTTGAAAGCTTAATATAAGTAAAAATTTAAAGCCCTTCACCAGTATACGGAAACGTCTTTATATCAGTGAAAAATTCTCAAGTTGAACGTATACAACAACATGCAATCAATTATTCATTAAGAGGGTGATGATTACTTACTTATAATTAAAAAATATTCCTATGAACGCTTAAGGTAGGTCCGTACTTTCAAAATTTTCTGTCAAACTAATAATCTTTTAATTTTAATACCTTTGATAAGTCATAAACTAACTAAAACACCCATAAAAGACATATCTTTGCAGGTGAATTTTCATACAACATGTCTCAGAGTAAATACCTTTAAAATTTAAACAACCTAAATCGATCTTAAAGAAGTGAGATATCATATTTTATTTAGCTATGCACCAAATCACATTAAATTTATGTTAAAACTTATGAAAATCAAAAATATTCATTTGCCAAGAGAATATTTGAAATCTTTATTGGAAAACATTAACAAATTGATGTTGAATTTGTCCGTGTCTTTCAGAAAAAAATCTCAAATTTTTTTTATTTTTGATATTTCTCAAAATCTCGAAAACACATAGTTTATGATGCTCAACCAGATAAATTTAACAAAACAGCCTTTTGAACACGTATACCCCCCATCTTTTAGATATCAATTTTTCAATCATTCTTTGCAAAAATTTTAAAAAAGTAAAATTCAAAAAGATTGTATAGGCTTTAAAATCAATCAAAGTAGATCTAGTTAGTTTGTTTAAAAAAATTAAAAAGCATGACATTCATAAAGGCAATTAAGAATTTTTTGTCTGTGTATGTACTAAATGACATATAGTTCCTATGGACAGAGTGCAAAGTGTTAAAATTCCATAAATAATGATATTAAATGCTTTGTATGCTCAATGACATTATAATAAACAAATACATACTTGCTAAATTATTTTCAATCATCCAAATATATTTTTTCAATAGATAAGTGATAATCAGAATTTTATATTGGTGTATACAATTAAAACCGGATCCGTAAAAGTATGGACCTTCCTTAAATGTAACAGCTTGAATTTCCTTATATTAAAAAAACGTCAAAATTATGCAACACCTTAATTCCTTCGATCTATTTCTGGTTCCGATATATTTGCTCTAAATATAATGCTTCAAATTAAAAAAAAAACTCTAAAATGAACTTGAGAAATATTATATATCTAGATAGATTTAAAAATCAAATGCTGCATCAAAATGATATTTTCCTGAATAACATGTCACTTTTATTGCAACACAAATTATAGAATAATTTTAGAACTTGCATGCTCAAAAACTTTGTATTGGAAATTGAAAGGAAATAAAATGTATCGGTCTCAGAGAAATGATTGAATTATGTTATGAATGTATCATCGTTGAAAGTGTATAAGCCCCCCCCCCCCTTCAAAATTGATTTTTAACATTCATTCATAACTCTTTTTTTCAGATCGCTAGGACAATATACTTTCTTTGCAAAACAACATATTTTAAGCAAAACATTCAGCATACAGATAACATACGTTGAACATAAAAACAAAAGTTAAAAATAATTTGGATTCCAGTAACACTTATATTCGCCATGACCAAAAATATTTTAGCGCAAAGAAAAGAAAGAACAGAGTTTTCAACATGTCAGTTCATAACCAATGGACGAATATCTTCTCGTGGATAGTCGATCTGGGAGCGTTTTCCGATAATTCCCGAAGCAATGGAATCAAAAATTTTCGGGTATACCTCCAATGTTTGATACGGGGTGTGCCAAGTCCAGTAGTGTTGATGGCTGGAAAAAAGGGGCTGCATGGAGCGTTTTGTTCGCCCTGGCATTTTTAGTTGTTTATCATCTTTCACAACTGCATTTTCTTTGGCAGCTGAGTGTTGCATATTTTTGGAAGGAAACCGAAATTTTTGGTCGAAGAAAGGATGGAAGAGGGTACTCATAAGAACTTTAAAGTCGGGTTCGTGATACTGGTATTTGGGTGGTACCAGAGGAGGAAGAGAGTCGATGTCCTTTACCGTGGTCATTTTTGTCTGAGGAAGCTCCAATACATTGTCCTCTTTATTTTCGTCAGCATTTCTATCTTCATTATGATGATCATTGTCGTTTTCATCCTCGTTTTCATCCAGCTTATTTTTGTAACCTATGTAGTATTCCTGAACATCTAATAAGTTAGTTCCATAAGCATCATCTCCATGAGTTTTCAGATTTTCAATCACGTTTTCATTGTCATAGTTCTTATTTATGTCCTCCTCTTCGCTGTTCTCTACATTGCCGCTCTCCTCTAGCCTGTTTTCTGCGTTGTTATTGCTGTTTTCCTTTAGTGTTTTATTTTTGTCATAATCCGTATTTTCAATCTCATTCGTCTTTTCCTTGCCCAGTTTGGAGCTAAATGAGAGAATAGAGCGCACGACTTCATCAACAGGACCGATTTTTATTTTCTCATCATCGGGAAACAGGTACTCTAAAGGATTTTCAGATTTGTTGTTGATACTTTCCAAGAAATCATCATCGGGTATCTCCTTACAGTATATCCTGTAAAAGAATTGGTTTTACATTGTATATTGCTAAAACTTAATCTTAATTCTATTGAATATTTAAGAAAAGAAACTTTAATTCAAATTCCAGATTGTAACCAAAGAAATACCAACGGCATATTTGATGTTTAGCTTTTCTTACTTGTTTAGACACTCTTTCGTGTGTAAAGTTTTATATTTAAGAAATGTTTTAGCAAAATTTTGAACTGCTAAAGTATACGAATAGTCCATGCTTCTATTTGCTAAAAAACATAATATTGACAATATAATTAAAAAACATAAACGATTTGACCAAACGGTTCGATTTTCAAGAATTTCTCACTTAATTTGAAAAGCTGCTACTTGCCGTTGGAAGCCTAACGCGTCACTTGGGGCTATTTATGGGCAGCGGAAAGGGCAAAAATTACCATATTGAGAAAACAAACAATTATTTTAATTTCAATTACTATAAAAACTTAACAAATGATATACAATTCGTAATCAACAGACCTTTTCGCAGAACAAATATACATTAAAGCAAAACCAACGATCACGTACGTAACAAACATATATGAATGCAAAACCAACGATCATCTTTGCAGAACAAGCGTACATAAAAACACGACAAACGAAAAAAAGTTAACAAACGTGAACGCGGTAAATCTAGTCTTCCCGACACCCGGCTCCCGACGGTCCCGGATTTTTCTTTTGCGATTTCTTTTTTGTCGGTGCACAGAAACTCTTCACACCTCTCAGTCACATTTCCAGTGGGTTCAAAGAAATTCATCAATATATAAAAACGTTAACAAATTTGCGTATTTATTACTGAATCAGCAGTATCATATGCCAAAAAGCGGCATATCTAGTACTCAGCTATAAATGCGAAAACCACTGAAAAGGATACCGATGTTTTCGTAGAATCGCGATTAAGAAAAAACTGAGGTATATATTTTTTAAATAAATGAAAACCCTCATTTACATGCCAGATAATTTGTATGCACAAAAATTCCCAACACATTTTTTTTTTCATATAGATCTCTTTGCCACATCATGTTTATATTCCCAGGCTCTACAACATGGACGTGGTTCTACCTTGGATCCCCTTTTAATTTTTTGTTTGTTAATTTATCTTAAAAAATTCAAATGAAAGAAAAGAATTTACATAAAAGAAAAAAAATCTCATTCTCCCGAAGGCCGTTTCGTCATTTTTTTTCGTTGTTGTTACATAATTTGGTTTTCCCCAGTTCTTTAAATATCACAAGAATCTATCATGATATTTTAATTACAGTGACATATCATATGACTGGCACGCAGCTATATTTCCCAAATTTAAGAAAAAAGTCAAAAAAGGGTTATGTAGTACATGTATATTAAGAAAAAAATGGTACTGAAAGAAGTTGAACCAAACCCCCCCCCCCACGTAACACACACACACACACACCCTCACTCAAACACACGAAATAGGATTTTCGAGTTTGAGCTATATCATTTTAGTTTCCTTTTTGTTTCTGCTTGTCAAGTTTTTAAAATCTTTTTTCAGCTAGATTGAAATTTTTTCCCTGATTGCCCCCTCCTTTCAAAAACGATACTATGTCAATGTATAACAATACAATACTTTCATTTTGTATGGTTTTACCATAAGTTCAATGTAAGATTTAGCTATTTTTAATAAAATTTTGATAAAAATCTTTTTTGAAATCAAATTGTTTTGATGTTATGAATTTTTATAGAATTCAAATGTTCATTTTTTTTTATTAACACCACCGATTTCTACTGAAATACTAATTCCATCTTTTTTTAGAAGAAATATCTTCTCAATATCAATATTTTCGATATTGATAAATATAATAAACATACATGGACACAAATCTGAAGTTAATTTTATTTCATATTAAAGTTATTGATACAAGATTGCCACTTTTCTTAAGTATTAAGAATAAAATTAAAATTTGTGAGAGTGCAAGGATGTGTCAATCAAACCCGTCTAAAAATTTGAAGTCTTAATAACTTTTAGATGAAATAAGATTTTTAATTTATTTTTGTGTGTAAAATGCTATTAAAATATATAAGTCGTAATATTATACAAAAAATATTAACTTTAAATCTTTAATATCTTCGACACCTTACGTCTCTCTATATCGATGTCCGTTTTTGGTTTTCATATTTATAACGAAGTACTACATTTACCGCTTTTTGGCAGGTACATTGTAATACTGATGATTCAGTAATAATTACGCAAATGTGTTTAAGTTTTTACATATCATTGAAAATGTGCCTGAGAAGTTTGAAGAGTTTCTGTGCACCGACAAAAAAAAAATTGAAAAAAAAAATCCGGGACCGTCGGGAGCCGTGTGTCGGGAAGACTAGATTTACCGCGTGCACGTTTGTTAAGTTTTTTTCGTTTGTCAAGTTTTTTTCGTTTGTCGAGTTTTTATAAAATTTATGTACGTTTTTTCTGCAAAGATGATCGTTGGTTTTGCATTCATGTATGTTTGTTACTATGTGGTCGTTGGTTTTGCTTTAATGTATATTTGTTCTGCGAAAAGGTCTGTTGATTATGCATTGTATATCATTTGTTAAGTTTTTATGGTTATTGAAATTAAAATGATTGTTTGTTTTCTCATTATGGTAATTTTTGCCCTTTCCGCTGCCCATGGTATGGCTATTCAGCAGTGAGCGTAAAACGCCGGTTTCTTTTTTTTCATTTTATAAAAATTGGTTCAGATCATGCAGAACTTCTTTTACATTTTTTTTTTTTTTGCGAGATGACTAGCGATGTGCTGCAAAAATGCAGTAAGATCTTGTCATTCTTAATCCCTACCTACTAATGACAGTAGTCTAAAATATCTTATGTTTTTCTGGCTTTTTTGACGATTTTGATAGGTTAAGAGCCAAGAAAAGTCAGAACCGGCGCCATTTTGAAAACTGGAAGATCGCCGCCGTCATTTAGAGGTGGTATTGTGGGGTTTAATTTGATACTGAGAACCGAATTTAATGCTTTCTGTCAAGGTCGTGGACAATGTAAGACGTATTTTTTCTGCTCTCCCAAATTGAGAGAAAACAAGCTATGTGATAAAATATCTGTACTATTTTTAAGCTTAAACAGTTTGTAAATAATATATGTACGGATAATACTTGATTGTGAATCTTTATTTTTCATTATAATATTATTGATTACCATGTACATGTATTATTACTTACTATTGTATCTTGACCTATTATACAGAGAGAGGGTGTACATAGGCCTTGCCTGTTGCCCAGTCCTCATTGTAAAATTCAGTAAAATATGTTTAAAGTAAATAAATGCTGAATTCACAACTCAACAACAGTATAATGCATTTAGTACTCACCAAGATCTATTTAAAGGTTTGTTTACAAATTATACAGTCTAGTGAAAACATTTTATCAGACCACCGAGTTTTTTTTTATCATTTCTTGCATTTTAAAATCTTTCAAAACCTGCATCGAAATATGTAGTGATATTTTCTTTTCGTTGATATAGGTGAGTACTAGAACTAATAGGTGCATTGTGCTATTAAAAAATTGTAAGTTGTAACTTCGCCGAGCTAAGTAGCGTTTCATATGTTGCAACTATAATCTTGAAGGCATCGCATGGCCAGGCGAATACTAGTATATTTTTCAATACTTTATATGCTGAAAGGAATCGTTGGATGTCTTTTAATAGGGAAATATGGCATGTTTTATGAATTAATTGGCAACAATGTTTTTTTTATATATAATTGTAATAGACCTAAATGAAACAGACTTACAGTAAGGTCTATATTTATGTTAAATGTCTATGTTAAATATATGTCTATATTAAAGTATATTTAATAGAATAGACCTATATGAAACAGACTTACCGCAATGCAAAGAAAACAAACACCAGAAGACCAGGAACAACCCTCATTTTCTACAAAAGTATGATTTCAATTATGTTAAGATAATAGGAACATGTACAGGTATATCATCTACTGAAACTGTACCATACAATAGTATTTTATATTTGCATATCCACTGCTCTCTCCCACCATGAACATGTATCCATCAACTGCGTTTATAGGACTATAGACGCAACTGCTTCTACGATGAGTGCAATTGCTCTAACTCACTCGTGTAGAACAAGCTCTACTACACTTATATACCGTGTTGAGAAGTATATATATGAAATGTTTCGTAAAAGGACTAAATATAAGTTTCTAATAATATTTTTTTGGAAAAAAAGAATTCAGAACAATTTAAAATTGCTGTTTTATATCTTTAAAAATTTAATTTTGGTCAATGTATTTAACTGTAATATAAAACTTTTTAAAAATTGAATAGAACTCCATAATTATTTTAATTTTTTTGTATCATGCATACTTGTACAAAGAACGATAACTCTTCACACTTGGGTAATAACATTCAGAAAGAGAATTTTTTTTAAACTAGTATAATTATATCTATTTCAAGAAAAAATAAATAGAAAAAGTACCCCAAAAAATCACAGAAAAGCATACTGGAGTAATAATCATTATAAAAGCATTCTCATTTTTATCATAGTGTTAAATTATTGATTTTTGTCAGAGGATTTCAGTAACGTTGATCGATGACGTCACGACTGCATCAAAACAAAAATTAAGAGAATGTGATGATGGTGCTGCTTGTATCCAGATAACTGTGTTTGAGAGGGAAATACTTTATAAATTGTGATTTATTAGAGAAAAGGAGTATTGATCAGGTGTACTGATTTTAAAGCTGTATGGTTTTCTTTACTGAAGACAGAAGAAGCTGCGTCCTTATGTAAGTCAGGATTTCCTCTGATATTCTTGACAACATCAAAAAATGCAAATATAAGTAATGAACAACGATTATTTAGTGAACATGGCGTAATGAATAGCAATAGCTCTGCTGGCATATTTTCCATGATGCGCTAGCGCGCATCATGGAATATGCCAGCAGAGCAATTGCTATTCATAACGCCATGTTCACTAAACAACGTTGTTTATTTCTTAAATATTTGCTAGAAAAGAATATACCAATGACCCTTACGCAACCTTATGAACATTTACACAGCATAAAATACTGCAATACGGTACATTCAGAAAGCTGGAAAACCAAAGGAGGAAGCATATTCCTTTTGAAAAAAAATCGAATAGGT